TTCTTCATGCAGGCTTCCCTGATAATGTCTGGTATTGTAACCTCTCTATAATTCTGGGTGCAGTGGTACATGCCCACAATCCTAGTATACTCAGGATGCTGAGGCAAGTGGACCATGAGTTTGAAATATAACAAATTCTAAATGAGCCTTGGCTACAGAGTGAGACCTTGTCTCATAAAAGTAACCAATCAATCAACTAAACAAACATACAAACAAATAGACGCAAACTGACATTCAATTGTATCATACTCTTTTGGAATTGTCTCATATGGAGCCTTGTATTTACTTGTTTTTGTGGGTAAGTCTCAATCCCAACGGATTGAGTTGTGTTTCATATCACTTAGATACCATTCATATTCTTCTTCCTTCTCTTTCCTCCCTTCTATAGCATTTATGAATTTGTCTGTCTAGGACTTTGTTAGGCTGACACAAATTTGACTATAGTTTCTGTCCTTAAGCCATTTAACCCCTTCTTACCTCTCCAGTCTCTTCGAGTCACATAACTTATCTTGGCCTTGAATGTACTCGGTAGCCCAGGCTGATATCAACTCACAATTCTCAAGTGCTGGGATCATCACTTGTAGCTTCATCTTAACACTCTCCTTTTAACTCCCACACAGGCTAAAGGGCATTTCTCTATGTATATTGTTTCCTTTCATAATTAGGGTCAGGCCTATTTCTTCTGACTAAGAATGCAGTCTTCCTGCTCCCATTCTACCCTCCCTCCTATTTATGTCTAACACCTGTTCAGACCTATCCATGGCTTAGCTAATTCTTCCAGGGAGAATAATCAAAAAGAAATGCCATTTTCAGAATGTATTCTTCTTTTGCTCCATTCCCAACACTGAATTCTCAAAAAGGAGCTGTGTTTATTTGTGTCTGTCATTTGGAGTTATCTATTAGTATGTATATATATATATATATAGACATATTTACATATGTCTATATATATATATATATATATATATATTCTGTTGGGAATGAGTCATATCTCCTGATAACTAGTAGGTTTTTTAAAATTTAAAAAAATGCTCCCTGACCGACGATTTAAAAAAATGCTCAATGAATGAATTTTACAAATAAGTTATAAGCCGGGCGCTGGTGGCTCACGCCTGTAATCCTAGCTACTCAGGAGGCTGAGATCTGAGGATCGCGGTTCAAAGCCAGCCCGGGCAGGAGAGACTGTGAGACTCCTATCTCCAATAAACCACCAGAAAACCGGAAGTGGCGCTGTAGCTCAAGTGGTAGAGCGCTCGCCTTGAGCTGAAGAGCTGAGGGGCAGTGCCCAGGCCCAGAGTTCAAGCCCCACAACCGATAAAAAAAACAAAAACAAAAAACAAAAAACAAATAAGTTATAATCCCTACTCTTGAGGATATCACCATCTAGTGGGGGAGACAGAACTGCAGATAAACCATAGGTTTAAAAGCCATGGAGAAGACAACTATTGTGGCACACCCCTGTAATCCTGGCACTCTGGAGGCAAATGCATCAACATTGTGAACTTAAGGCCAACCTGAGCTATACAGCCAGTTGCAGACCAGCCTGGGCTATACACAGACACTTTTTTTCAAAAAATAAAACAAAATGTTGTACAGGTCTCAAATGGCTAATTTGGCCTGTGAAGTCAGGCAAAGGAACAATCTGGATTTTTAAGGATTTCCAAGTTTCCTGAGTAAAAGAAGCACATAGCAGATGCTCACACCATGAACTAATTAAGTAAGTGCCTGCATATCTCTGAATGGTTCAGATCTTCTAGATGCCTTTTGGTACAAGATAGAGCATGGCTACAAACAAGGGACTCAGCTAAGTTAGGACAACAAAAAAGATTATGTTTGTTTAAAAAAACAATTTTAAATGCAAGTGTCAAAAAAAGTGACATCTGTGGCTGCTAGCAGGACAAGTGTTGCTTACTACATCTCTTAGGAAAGAAACTACATTAAGAAGAGTAAACACATTTGATTGACTGATACCAGTCAAGGTAAGGAGCGAAATTAGAGGGCCTGGAGAGAGACAATCAGCAGGATTCATAAGGGAAAGCTTGTGGATTATTGAAATTACTAGTCTGAGCCTGTTTTAGCAAGGGGGAACAGAGATTAAAAATTTGACAGAAATTGTGCCTCTAGTGTAAATTATGTAAACTACGGCAGCTGGATCAGATGAATATATTATCACTCCCAACCTACAAAACCTGGTCCCCTCCTACAGTCATAGAGTACAAACAAGATGTGAAAAAAAAATCAGCATTAATGAGGAAAATGAACCAAAGGAAAAATAAAATTTAAGCACACTAAGAAATATTAATTAAGGGCTGGGAAGGTGGCTCAGTGGTAGAGCACTTGCCTTGCATGCATGAGGCCCTGGGTTCGATTCCTCAGTACCACATAAGCAAAAAAAAAGCCAGAAGTGGCGCTGTGGCTCAAGTGGTAGAGCGCTAGCCTTGAGCTGAAGAGCTGAGGGACAGCGCCCAAGCCCAGAGTTCAGGCCCCACGACCGGACCCCCCCCCAAAAAAAGAAATATTAATTAGTACTAGATTTCTGTAAGAAATGAAATTTGAGGAAGTTTAAAATCATCCAGGTTACCTCTGTGCCTGCCCCAACTCACCCTCTCATACTTCACATTCTAGAAGCAACTGTTGTTGTGTGTTGTATACACAAGTAGTTGCTATTCCTGTTTCTCTTAATAATTCTTCCTCTGCCAGGGGTATTTTGTCCCCATTCCCTTCCATCCTAAATGACTCAGATGTGTTCTCCAAAAAGCCTCTATTGAATCTCAAGGCAGTGAGGTTTTTTGTTTGTATGCTCTGTGACCTTGTTATGACTTGTCTCTATACTGATTGTCTTCATCCCTAACATTACTACTTTTTATTGGTTATTTATGTTCATAGATACTCCAGCCACTCCTAATGGGCATACAGAAGTAGCTCTTGAATGAACTGAAAAATAAACAAAAGATGACATGCCTTGTCCAAGGTCATGAAACTGACGGCTGCAGAGCTGAGACAGACCTGAACTCTTCTGACTCTACTAAGTACATGGCTTTCTCTCTCACCTTAAGCTCAGTCCTTTTGGTTTCAAGCTGCTGTTAAGAACTGGCAAGGCCCATCATCAATAAACATCTTTTAACAACAGCTATTGGTGGACAAACTCAGAGTAATAAATACTAGCAGAAGGTCCCATTAATACCTGAACTCATATTTAGGAGAGACACTATCTATGCTGGGAAATGTAAGGCCTTTATTTTCCGTAATGTACTTTCTTCTGACTGTGTGGTTAGTGATATTCGCAGTCTGGCACAATCCTCCCACACTCCACAGAAACCATGGCAGCAGAAACTCCCCTGCAGTTTTACAACTTCCCAAGGAAGAGCTCAGTTCAACTTGTGCTGTAATTTCTGTGAAGGATATTTAAAGTCCTTTAAAACACATGAATGAACCTTTTGAACACCACTTGGAAGAAGTAATGACATTCAGTGATCACCACCCAGGAGGTATAGAATGCCTCAGGGCAGAACAAAAGGCCAGCTGAATCAGCCAAGGGCAGTTGCTTCCACAAAATGCTTTTTACCTGAACAGGAACTTCAGTGTCTCCTATGAAATGACACAGTGTTTTTCCATAAAGAGTCATGTGTTCCTTATTCCACAGTAAAGCTATGAATCTAAATTTAATGTTCATTCCTGTGTTTATTTTGGTTGCTAGATTCTTAGGGAATGATCTTATCAGAATTCTATTATTCTACCCAGTGCTACATTTGTTTAGATGGAAGAAAAGAACAGTGGCTGCCACTAGCCGTTTTTCTGCAAAGTTTTTATTATAGAATTTGAAATAACCTTGTAGGACATCTAATTCAGCCCTTACATTACAGAACTGATCCCTGGCAATCTGATAAAGTAAAAATTGTCATTTTGTGTGAAGCAAATCATTCTACTCTAGAAGAAGAAATTAAGAACTTGGACACTCAATCACAGCTGTTATGTTATTAGGACAATATACACATACGGGCAGGATAGAATCGAATGCTTTGGACCGAATATATTTCCCTTTCACTTACTCCTAGGTCATTTTCTCTGTCACAAAAAGTAGAGGACCCCTGTATAGGTTTCCTTTGGCAGGTGCACACTTGCCTATAGTCCTGTTGTGCTAACATGGACGCCTTTTTGTTTTCACATTTTATGAAAATAATGTAAACGTGTTTCAAGAGTCTCCTCAGTGACATTTCCTTCAAATTTTTCATTAAAAAAAAATTGGTTGACCTATGTTGTGAACCAGGTATCGCGGTGCGGGTACATAATCTCGGCAGCCGGGGCGGGGGTGGGGGGAGGAAGAGGAGGCGGCCAGGGGACAAAATGAGATCTGGTCTACACACACACACGAAGTCACCCTTCCCAAACGACTCACATCGGGGGCGAGGTTTGGAAAAGTACTCTCAAAAGCAACGCGCATTTGCAAGAGAGCCCGGTTATCCTATGTCTGTGTCCTACGTCCATTCCACTTTCTCCTGAAGCGAATTATTATTGAGCACCTGCTAAAGATGGCAGGTCCTCTGCTGGGCCCAGAGAGGCTGCCAGTGACACGAACCCCGGCCGTCCAAGGGCTCCAAAGTCCAATTACATCATCCGGCTCAAGCCAGAATGAATGAAAGGGTTCAACTTGCCCGAGCAGAACCGGGACTGGAAGGAAGCCCAGAGTCGCCACGTCTGCGCCGCCCGACTCTCCCACTGCAGCGTCCCTCATCACGTGACTCACACAGCCCGCACGTCCTCCGGCCTTGCTCCCCCCCTCCTTCGCCCTCCCCTCCCGCTCCGGCGCCTGCGCAGGCGCAGCTCCCGGGGACCGTGCTCTGAGTGCGCTGACAACTTCCGGTTTGCTTTCCCCGCCCTCCCCGCCCCCGGCGTGGCTAAAGCTTTCGGGGTTTGGCTGCGGCCGCGGTGAGTTGGTGGGGGGCCGGGCGTGATCAAGTGAGTTACCCCCGCCACCCGCCCTAGTGGGATTCCCCACCACCATGGCCTGTTCCATCGTCCAGTTCTGCTACTTCCAGGACCTCCAGGCCGCCCGGGACTTCCTCTTCCCTCAGCTGCGGGAGGAGACCCCCAGCGGCGTCCTGCGGAGGGACCCCAGTAAGTGCCCCCCGGTGTCACCCCAATAAGTCCCCACCCCCGCTCGTGTCGCGGCCTTGCTTCCCTGGCGCCCGCCGCCCGGGTCCGCCGGG